GAGCCTCGTTCGACTCCGCCACGAGGAAGATCGCTTCGTCGTCGACGTACGTCACCTCGTGCACGGGGATCTCCTGCAGCAGTCCCTGCTTCTGGTCGTCAAGCTCCTGCTCCCACTGGGTCCCTTCCGCCGAAGCCTCGAGGGCAAGAGTGAGGCCGAGGGGCCGTAGCTTGACTTCCAGCTCCCTCAGCGCGCCTCCGCGTATACCAATTCGAAGATGAGCGCGCCAACTCTGCACCCTTGGCGCGACCCGCGCGGTGACGCGCCCGCCAGCCGCCAAGAAGAACCAAGTCTCGGTGTGTAACGTGTCCAGCAAACGCATGAGATGAGGCGGCACCTCCAAGGAGTCCAAGGCCGACTTGTCCGCCAGGTATCTGGCGATGTGGCGGGCAGCGTCCGGCAGCACCCCCCGGCCTGCTCCGGGGTCGCCTGAATCATGCCCGGGTCCTGTTGGGCTTCTGCCACTCCGAATGCCACCTGTCGGACTAGACGGTCGAACGCCTTCGAGAGATCCAGGAAGAGCACGGCCGCCGGCTTCTTGAGCACGTGGACTCGCTCAATGAAGCAAGATACCAAGTGATGGCCCCTGTTGGTGCTGGCTCGTGGCACCCCGCCGCACTGTTGCAATGGTAGGCCCGCCTCAACCGCGATCTTGACGGGTGGGGCGATCACCCTGCTGTACACCTTAGACGCATGCTTGCAAATCAGCAGCTCGCGATAGGAGTCGCAGGAGAAGTGTCGCCCTTGCCCCTGTGCAGCTTCGCGAGTCGTCTTCTTCGCCACTGGAGGGGGATATCGCCCGAATCGAGGATATCCTCGGTCACATCTACCAGCAGCTGCAAGGCAAGTTCGCCGCCTGCCTTCCAGAGTTCGGCTGGCACCTCATCTGGGCCCATGGTCTTACTGGATTTCAACATTACTAACACCTTGCGGGCCCTCTCGATCACAGGACCCAGCCTGGTTCGCACTTCTGCAACCTCGCCTGTGTCTGGAGGTTGCGGCGGCTCCAGTTGCGGCAGCTTCTCGTGAAGGTCACCGATCAGCAGCTCTGCGAAGATCTCCTCCCGCCTTGCCGCCTCCTCCTCGGGACTACCAACTCACCCGTGGCACTCACGATTCCCGGAAGCGGCGAGGCCTTGAAGGCGCCCAGGCGCTTGACGAGCTTGTACGTCTCCCGCACGGCCCCAGCCTCAGCAGCCTCCTCAGCAGCCCTGGCAATCTGAGCCCATTGGGCCTCGCTGGTCCTCCCTCAAGTCGTCGGCCTTGCGCAGCTGCGCGGCGGCGTGGTTCCGATGGGCCCACCGCCTCGGTACGCGCCGCCGCGCGCAAAGGCACACGGTCATTGTCCAGCGCCGCGCCCGGACAGCACACCTGCCGCCATGCGTCGAATTACCTCTGCTGCCAGCAAGGTGCTGAGGTCTTGCCGGGCATCCCTCAGCTTATCTTTGAGTACCCAGGCCTCCTGCATGCGCCCCCACGTGGAGTGCGTTATCCAATGCTTTCGCGGGCCAGTCGGCGCCGGCGCGAACACCTCCGCAGCACGGTGCTTCACGGTGTCCGTCAATTGCTGCAGCTTCTCGTGGGGGCGCCCAACGAGGTAGATGTTAGCGTGCCGCAACGCCTGCTCGAACTCCGCGCACAGCCCAGGGTCGGTCATCTTCACCCTGTCCCAGCGCACCGTGGTGTTTGCGGATGGCCTCGGGGGCAGGAACATCGAGAGGGTTGCACTCACGGGCCAATGGTCGACGGACGTTCTGAAACTCAGATTGTCCTCGTGCACCCGCACCCTGCGGATCATGCGACGCAAGAAACGAGATACCAAGACGTAGTCGATCCTGTGACGACGCCTGGACGTCGGCTACCACGCCGGCGTGGTCCCATTTCCCATCATCGTTTTCAAAGCCGCCAAGTTGTGTGTAGCCAGAAACTCACGGAGCCGTGAACCAGACACCGCCTCTGGGTCAGCAGACAGCGCGCCAACACCTGGGGAGGCGCGCGCTTCCATCCATGCGTTGAAGTCGCCAGCAATAATGACTCCTTGACACCGTGGGATGCGACCGATGGCACCCTCAAGATCCTCATGGAACTGGTCGTGCTCCTCCAACGAGACATCCTGTATGGGAGCATGCACGTTGAAGAGCTTCAGCCTGTCCTTGACATTCTTAGTCTGGACATTGATGGTGCTAACGGCTATCTAGGCAGAGATCTGCGTTGCCGCCGCAAACGCAGCATCGAGACGTCTACGCACCCAAGATTGCAAGCCCAACGCCCGAGAAGGCCCACCCCAGGGAAGACGAAAATGTCGTAGTGCATGCCACTTAGCGTCGTCTTCTCGCTCATGCGACCCTCCTGCACGCAAGTCAGATCAAATTCACTTGCATTAAATTGTTCTTCCAGCTCAGCCATCCTGCCAGTGCAGTTGAGGCCAAGCTGCCAAGCTGGGCGGCCCTCGGGCTGGGTGCAGTGTTTCGCACAGCCGACGTGATATTAGGGGTAGCAGATATTATGGTATTGCGGACTCGCCGTTCGCAGGTCGAACGCGGTTCTTCTCCTCGTCTGGCACTCCGATCCTCCGTCAGGCGCCTGTGGGAGCCAAGATCGACCGCTCCCACCTGCGGCGTCTCTACCGTGTGCTTGCTCGTCATACGGCGGCAGTTGCCGGGCACAGTGCTCCATGTCGTGCGAGCCTGCTGTGATGTGACTCCCGCCATGCCGTCCTGGGCGCCTTGCACGCCCTCGCTGAGGTTGGTCGCTGGCCCCGCAGCTGTGCTCGCAGTCGGAGCCTCTGCGCGTAGCTTCAACAGCTTGTCCGCCAGCGCCAACTGATTCGTTAAGTTGCCTGCCTTGATTTGCTCCGCGAAGAAAGTGAGTTTGTCGGCGACCCACGGCGGCACCCTGGCCAGAGGCGGATCGCAAAACCTCGCGGCACCCGAGTCAGCAGCGCATGCAGCAATCTGTGTCTGTTCGATTACAGCCTGCTTTTCGTCGATGTCCGCCTTCTTGGCCATGGCCGTCCTGATCGCCGCGGCGAGCAGTGCAATCGCCGGCTCCTGTTCGCCCATGCTCATGTCGCATCCCGCGTGCAGCAATGCGGCTTGCGCGCCCTGCATGTACTCCAAGGCCACCTCCCATCTGGCGCCCTCAGCGGGACGTTGCAACATCTCTGCTTTCGCCTCCAGCTTTTCGATGTTCTTGCTGCTGGTCCCCATGCGCTCGCACTCGGACGTGATCTTGTCCTGGATGTCCTTGGACTGCTGTTCCAAGGTCTTCACGTGGTCCCTGCACTTCTTGAGTTTGTCATCCTCGCTCTTGAGCTTCCTCGTGGCGTGTACCTCAGTGAAGCATCGTGGGACTGCTTTCTCATGCTCAGCCTGGAGGGTATCGATCCTCTGTGTAACCAGATCGCCAGCGACCAATGGGGCTTGCTCCGTTTCCTCGGCGAACTTCTTGAGGTCGCGGCGCTGGGCGCGCAGTACCTCAAGTTGGGTATGGTCTCGGATCTGCTCTTCTCCACCTTCGAGGTGGTCCCTGGGGGCTCGGCGTCTGCCTTCTTGCAATGCTTCCCGCGCGCCCAGCATTTCTTCTTGTGCGACTGCCAATTCCACTTGAATCCGCACTCGGCGCAGCACCAGTGTCCATTGGCAGCCATGGTGAGGGGCTCAGGGGGCCTGAGCCACTGTCAAGGTGGACACCCCTAGTACTCAAGGCGGTGATTCAGGCCCGCTAGTACCTTGGGTAGACAATGGCTTGAGCCAAAATGGCCACGGATGATGATGCTGATGATGATGATGATGATGATGATGATGTTGATGATGATGATGATGATGATGATGATGATGATGATGATGATGTGACGGTGATGATGACGATGAGGATGATGATGGTGATGACGATTTGATGATGATGATTGATGATGATGGTGATCATGGTGATGATGATGCTGATGTTGATGATGATGCTGAGAATGTGGATGAGGATGATGATGGTGGTGATGATGATGATGAAGATGCTGATGGTGCTAATGATTATGATGGTGATGATGATAATGGTGGTGATGATGATGACGATGATCATTAGGATGATGGTGTTGATGGTGAGGATGGATATGATGAAGGTAAAGACGATGATGACGGCGACGGGGATGACGACGGTGATGGCAATTTTGACGATGACTATGATGATAGTGATGATGACGATCATGAGCAGGATGAAGGTGATGATGATGATGACGATGATGATGATGATGATGATGATGATGATGATGGAAATGATGATGATGGTGACAGGGTATGGTGTTGACGATGATGGGATTTCTGACGATGACGATAATGCTGATGGTGATGATGATGCTGGCGATCATTAGCAGACGATGATGGGAATTATGCTTATTCTGATGCTGATGATGGTGATGATGAGGATGAGGATGAGGATAAGTATGATGATGTTGATGATGATTGTGGTGATGATGATGCTGATGATCATGCTTATTATTAGTATTTTAATTACGATGGTGATGCTGTTGCTGATGATAATGAGGAGGATGATTATGATGATGGTGATGATGATGGTGATGATGATGAGTAGGGTAACCATGGGGATACTGATACTGAACTTTATGATGAGGTGGTTAAGGAGAAGGATGATGATGATGATGATGACGATGACGATGATGATGATGATGATGATGATGATGATGATGATGATGATGATGATGATGATGATGAGATGTAAGTCCACAGGGCCAACTGAGGCGCCCCGGCACACCTGTCGTTCCCTCCACGGGACGCCCTCCTGGCGACATCGGCGCGTGTGTTGTTCTGTTCCCTTGTCCCTTCGCATGATCCCCTCCTCTTCCTTCTCCCCCCTCCTCTGTCCGGTCCTCCTGCTCGCCCCTCCCTTTCCCCTCCTGCTCCTCCCTGCCCCTTGCCCCCTGCCCCGTCCTTCTCCTCCTTTTTATCCTTCTCCCCCGGTTCCTCCTGCTGGCCAAACTTCTCCAGGCCATGACGTCGTGCAGAGTTGAGGCGACCAGAGGGTTTTGGAACGCGTCTCGCTAGCACACAAAGCGGGGAGGCGATTTCTGCAGCGTGGAGTGCAGGTCGACTACTACAAACTCTTGGAGGTGGACAGCTTTGCTACGACCCGGGACGTCAAGGGCGCCTACCGGAGACTCGCGCTGTTGTACCACCCCGACAAGAACCTAGACAAGACGCCAGAGGCCCTGAGCAAGATGCAGGACGACTACGAGGGAGGACGAGGAGGGGCATGATAGGGAGGGCAAGGAGGAGGGGCGGCAGGCGGGGTAGCAGAGGGTACTGAGGGTACTGACTATACGGGCACTCCATGGTGCCCCTCGCCACACGGCGGAACAAGAGCTCAATCGCTATCGCTAAGTTCAGGTGCCTCCTTCTGAGACCTCTGGCAGGAGGAGGAGGAGGAGGATGAGGAGGAGGAGGAGGAGGAGGGGCGGGAAAAGGAGGGGGAAAAGGAGGAGCGGGAGGAGGGGAAGGAGAAACAGGAGGACGAGGTGGTAGAGGAGGACGGTGAGGATGGCGAGGAGGAGGGAGGAGGAGATGACGAGAAGAAGGAGGAGATGACGAGAAGGAGAAGGGACACGGACAGAAGGGAAGGGCCAACGGTCCCCCCTGGCGCTGGTGCATGTATGCTATGCTTTGTTTCCGGCCCTGATCCGACGACGTGATGCGTGCTTTCTCAGTCCGCGGCCCCAAGAGAGATCCCGACCCATTTCCCGGGGTAAGTTCTTCGTACGGGGCTCGTTTTTGATGGCCCCTGGGCCCGTGAGCGCCCCCCCCCCCCCCCCCCCTGAAGCCGAAATTGGGGAAAGACGCCGGGATTGAACAAGTCGCATCGTCGGGGATCTGCGCCCCACCCAACCTCACTCACGCCTCTTCTCTCCTCCTGTCTCCTCTTCCTCCCCACCCTTGGTTTTCGTCCTCGTTCCCTTCTCCTGGCACGACCGCGGCGGCGGTCAGCGTCCTCCACTTCCTTCTCCTGCTCTTTCTCCTCCTCCTCCTCCTCATTTTCCTCCTCCTCACGACCCTCCGGCTATTCCCCTCCTCCTTTTTTTGACGTTGAGCGGGCTGTGGGAACATCGCATGAACGTGCTGACGTAGGCCAAGGGGCCAACTAATTAAGCCTGGCAGGCGTAACAGACAAGGTAAGGGCAGCGGAGATAAGGGTAAAGAATGCAGGCCCATGCGGGCACATAGTATACGCCTGCCAGACAGCTCAGGAGTGGAGGAGGACGGTAACGAACCACATAACCGTAACTATGCACATAATCAGAACGCAGGAAGGAGGGAACACACCGTACAGAGTGAACGAACTACGCGTGCAAGCAAGTAAAAGGGTAAGTCCGTGCAAAGGCTAGCCTGCATAGGTAGCCGTAGAGCTTAGGCAGACGCGGTGTGTTATTCCCCCCCCCCCGCCCCTCCTATCTATAACCTTGCATCCCGCCCTCCCCAATATCAAGGCTTGCCAAGTCGGTCTGGCTGACCCAGTGTGGCAAAGCTTGGCTCTGGCAGTCAACACGCTCGCAGCAGTCGGCAAACACGTCCTCCTCCTCCACCTTCGTAGTCCTGTCGTACTTTCCCCCACCCACTTGCAGCACAAAAGTGGCTACACTTCGTTGCGACACACTCTCAGAGAGCAACGCTGATCGCCAATCGGCACGGCAAACAGCGAACCATGGCGCAAACAAAACATCCGAGACGACAAACCTCTTCACGACAGGGCACTGTGGAGGGAGCGCACTAGGACGCTCTCGACATGGTCCGACTGGCGGCGGAGTCCGAGTGGGCCCGCCTGGACGGGCCGCCGATCGAATGTTCGGCATGCCGGCAAGTTGCAGAGTCTGGTCGGACCCAACCAAGGCCAACCATGACGGCACCGGTGAACCAGGGTTGACCCGTGGTTCTGGCCACAACCAGAGCACAGGCAGTTGCTCGACGGCCTTCTGGCAGACACGCGGCCACACTTCGTTGCGACTCGTGACCTGCGGGCCCCCACCTACGCATCTCCCATGCCCTCTCGCGCCTCGCGGCTGTAAACACACACACACACCCATACCCATCCCACAAGAGAGGAGAGGAGAAGGAGAGGGAGGGGCTATATTGAGGGGGGGGGGTCTGATGACCGCATCCCTGGCACGATGGCGAGATGGGTCTAAAAGCCAATGGCGCTGGCATTATGTAGAGCAGCGTGCAGAATCGAGATGTGGGCCACATCCTCTTCCTCCACCTTTTCTCATCTACTTGAACGCCAAGTTTCCATCCAAGCGCCTCTTCCTCCTCCTCCTCCTCCTCCTCCTCCTCCTCACAGCGTGCATTCAGTGTAGCAGCATGGTTGCCTTGAAGGCGGAATGACGACAGAGGCTTAAACAAGGCTTTAGCGGCCCCAGCCCGAGCCAAGCCTGTTTTCCAGATTGGACTTCAGACGACTTGATTGGCTTGAGTGTTGCTGCTGCTCCTCCAGACGTGGAGGTAGAAGTGGTCCTCCGCCCCTGCTTGCTGCCCCTCCTGCCCCCGTGGCAGTTCCAGGGGGGGTCCAGGCCTGCCTGCCCTCGGCCCCAGCTTCCCAGGAATTCGGCGCGTTTTTTTTGTTTTTGACCCACCCAACAGGTTGAGGTTGTTAGATTTCAAGAACAGGCCCTCTGGCCAACCCCATCCTGCATACCGTGGCCGCCAGACCACAAGTTGCCCCGATGCTCCCCGAGAGTCCTGGGTTTCCCGCGTCGCGCCTGGCCAACACCACCCTGCATACCGCGGCCGCCAGACCCCAAGTTGTCCCGATGATCCCCGAGGGTCCCGGGTGTCCCGCCTCGCGCCCTCGACGACCACGACAGAACACAACATGACAGAACAGAACATGCCAGAACGGAGCAGAGCATGCCAAACCATGACAGAACATAACATAACAATATCCTGACAACGTAGGGAATCACATAACATCACATACCATACCAGAGTAGAGCGTGACCAAACAGACGCCGACAACACACACCATACCATGACATAATCGATCATACTATCACACACATTGGCAGGACAGGTCACATCATGACACAGCATCACGAAGCATATCAGAACACGGCAGCAGAGCATAGCGAGGACGAACATGACATACAATGTCATGACACAACCGAAGATGGTATGTTATAACACGGGCATGACATACCATAACGTATCATAATATAGCAATGTCATGGCAAACGAGAGCATACCAGCACATCATACAGTATACTAGACCAGAGCATTACATAACAGAAGACGGCATACCACAGCATCCGATAACACAGCCGATTATGCCATCAGAACATAGCGACGGCGAGCACGCCATCACACAACACGACACACCATGACATGCCATAACAGAACACGAGCATTGCATATCAAGACAGGACATGACACAAGCATGTCATGACATATTCGAGCATACCATAGCATCACATACCATACCATAGCAGAACATGACATGACACAAACACGACATAACAAAGCCTACCATCACATACCCGAGCATCCTATAACACACCTAGGCAGAGACTATCATATTATGACACAACATCACATAAAATGTCAGAACATGGCATCAGAGCATAACGACACATATTAGCAGAGCATATCGTGATTTACTATACAGAGCCCGGCCGTCAACAAGCAAAACATCACAGACCATACCAGAGCATAACGTGACATAGCAGAAGACGGCATAACATACTATAGCATAGAAGAGCCGAGCATACCATAACACACCTGGACATATCAGGCCATATCATGACACAGCATCGTAAACCATATCATACCACGACAACAGAGCATAGCGACGTCGAACACGACATAGCACAACCTGACACAACATACCATGATGCAACATAACATTAACATAACAGAGTGCGCAGTAGAAGTACAGTAGGGATGAGAGGTCCGCCTCGCCTCCCTCCTCTTTCTCCTCCTTCGTCGTCCGCCTCCTTCTCATGCTCCTCCTGCTGATGCTCTTCCTCGTCTTCGTTCAACAGGCTGCGGCTCTCTATCCGTTCCGCACCGCACGTTTTCCAAACTTGCTTTTTTCGCCCTGGGGTCTCTTGCAATTTCTATTGTCAGATTTGGAGACAGCGGAATTCGCCACCCGGCCGGACCGCCGCACTGGCCGAGACCACAAGGCCCTGCGCGCGCAGCGATCCACCAATTCGGCGACTGCGCGCCGTCGGGAACAAATGCTTAAGGTTTCGGTGGGTATCGCTCGAAGCAGAATAATTGTTTGTTGTCGTCGTCGTTGTTGTTGTTGAACTCTCAATTCTGAAGAATAATTATTGTTGATCCTCCCGCCGGGTGCACATTGTATTTTTTAATCGGAGTGCCCTCCCGGGGCTCGCACCCTGTTCTTAAGCAGGGGAAGTCTTGAGCGTCAAACTGCGCCCCTGGCCCCCGAGTGACAACAGCAACGGTTCCCGCCTGATACTTCTTCACACTATATTCAAAAATCAGGCTTTCACTTGAGATTGCCTTGCAGTTTGCTCAAGAATCGCGCTTTCGCGTGGGAGTTCTTCGCAATTCGTTCAAGGGCCGCGCCCTCTACAATCAGGAACCACGCTCTCGCTTTGGCTTATCTCACGATTTAATCACGACCCCCTAATGTTAAAACATACCCCCCTTTCGGCACTGACAGTTTATTATCCCCCGCCAATACAGATTCGGTCGGGGGAGAAGGGCGGCAAGGCCGAAAGTGCTTATCGCGAGGAAAAGTTGCGAGTCGAAGTTGCTATCTTGCTACCTAGCAGCGTCACCAAAATCGTGTGGCATGGCAGGGGGGGTCTCACCATTTCAGCTTCCGTAAGTCACGAACGCGTGGCAGGGCTATGGGATTCTCACGATTTCAGATTTCCCAAGTCAGAAACGTGTGGCAGAGCTATGGGAGTCTCATTATCTCAGCTTCTCCAAGTCGCGACTGTGTGGCATGGGCGATTGGTGTGAGGTGGTTCGCAAGAGAGGTTTCCAGGCGAGGAGCGCCAAGGACCTCCAGAGCGTAGGCAAGCTTTAGGCGCGAGATCTCGAGGAGCGCCAACAATCACCAGAGCAAGGATCTAGAGGAGCGCCACAGGTCACCATCACCATCACCGTCATCATCATCATCGTCATCATCATCATCATCCGATCTGCTTGACAAGCGTTTATTCTCCCCCTTGGACCCCGGACTTTATTATCCCCAGGGGTTTAATATCAGGGGCAGTTTGTTACTTGGGAATCGCGCTATCGCTCGAGATTTCCCTGCGATTCATGCCGGACGCACGCTTCAGCAACCCGCCTGCTCGACCTGGCCGCTTGGGCCTGCCTTCCCGACCCGCCTGTTGGGGTCTACCTGCCTGATCTGCTTGTCTGGTTCTGCCACGTGTTCCTTGCTCCTAGCTCCTAGCCCCTCTCCTGCTGCCCTCTCTCGTGCTCCATCCTCCCTCCTTGCTGTCCTTTTCTCCCATCCGTCCACTCTTTCCCTGCCGGACGGGCTGTATGAAATACACGTTGCAGGTGAGAAAGATGTACCCCCAAGGGGGTGCGATCGAAGACGAAGAGGGCGGGCATCGATGGTTGGGGTATATGTGTTGAACGGCACGCGAGCAGATGAGAACGAGCAGTCGTAAAATGATTGTTGTTGTTGTAGTAGTTGTTGTTGTTGGTGCTGTAGTTGTTGTTGATGCCATTGCTGTTGCTGTTTTTGTTGGTGATGATGTTGTTGTTGCTGTTGTGGTTCTTGCTGTGCTCGCAGACTCGACAGAAAGATCAAGTCTGGGGCACTTCAATTCTGTAGTCGATCTCCTGGTCGGAGATTCGGCGCGCTCGAAGCTGGCGACGTCCCCTGTCGCGCTCCCGCCCCGCACGGCCGTGCCACGTCCCGCGTCGACGTGCCCGTCGCGCATGGCATACCCTCCGAGACGTCCGACAGCGTGTTTGTTCATTGCTCCACGACGTGGCTCCCCAGAGATCTGGACCTCTTCCCTGGGGCTGGTTCTTCACTTCTTATTGTTTTTTGACGGCCCCAGGGCTTGGCGAGGGCCCCCAGAGGCCGAACATTGCAACAACAAGCCGTCCGTCGTGCTTTCTGCACGACGCGAGCATGTCTGCGCTTTGTGTCGGCACCCCGCTGCGAGGAGGAGTTCTCCCGGATCCAGGAAGCCTACGAGATCCTGAACGACCGCGCCACGCGCCGCCAATACGACAGGCGAGCGGGCCTCTTGCTAAGGCTGAAACCAGGCTTTGTTTCGTGGCGATTTCGTGGGCTGTTTTTTGTTTGACTTCGTTTTGCTGCAAAAGTCGGTTTGGAGACAGAGCGAGGGAAAGCGAACACAACACGAGAACGAAAAACATTGTTTAGGTATATCACTTTTTGGAGTGCTCTTGGAGGCCTCTTGGGTCGTCTTGGAGGCCTCTTGGGCCTTCCGGAGGCCATCTTGGACGTCTTAGAGGTTTTTTTTCCGCGAGTCGGAGTCTCGTGGACACGTTTGAGGGTTCGGGAGATGATTTTGGGCGGGCGCAGCGTCCAGAGGACCCGCAGGAAACACCTCAGAACTCACGGGGGACACCCCAGAAGACCCGGGGAAGGTCCCGAACTTCGGAGTTCCTGGCTTTGGAGACAGTGCAACCTTGGCTGCAGCAGCAGCAGCACAGATGTGAGCCTTGGGGCACTCCACTTCGTGCTGGAGGCACGGTGGTGGATAAGGGTGATGATGATGATGATGATGATGATGATGATGATGATGATGATGATGATGATGGCGATTGCATGCGGAAGACTATGCTTGTAAATGATGATTTTGATGCGGTTGAGGATCGAGAGGGTAATGCTGTTAATAACGATGATGATGCTGGCTTTGAAGACATTGCTAACGTTTGCGATGCAGCCATGTGTATGACGATGTAGATGATGCTAGCGACGATGACGATGATGCTAATGGTGACGTCGATGATGATGGTCAGCATGACGACGGCGATGGTGATTACATCGGCGAAGGCGATCGTGATGATGATCGTGCTGACTGCGATGACGATGGTGCTGCTGCTACTGCTGATGATGATGGTGCTGATGTTGCTGCTGCTGATGATGGTGAGGATGCATGTGCTGATGCGAATGTTGTCTTTGTGACTGAGACTTGTGACGCTGATTCCAACGGTGATTGTGATATTGCTAATGCGGGTTATGGTGAGGTTGATGATGAGGGGGCGGGGCGGGGCGGGACCAGGGCATAAGGAGGAGCATGATGGTAATGCTGGTGGTCCTCTTGTTGATGATGCTAACGACGTGGACCCTGACTAGGATAGTGATGCTGTTAATCGAGGCAACGAACGCATATTCACGACGACGTATGTTGTTTTAACAATGACGATGTTAGCGTCGATGTTGACTGTGGCGATGACGGCGGCGGCGGTGAATCTACAGATGGCGACGCTGAGTGTGATGAGGACGACGATTGCTCCGATGCTATGGATGATGGTGAGAGGATGAGGAGTGCAGGATGATATGGGGGAGGACGAGGGATTGGACTATAATAATATGGAATGTGATGGATGATGTGAGGAGTAGGACGAGTTGGATGATGAGAAGGAGCGTGCGAGGGATGATACTGATGAGTTTGGCGATGATGTGGAGAAGGGGAGGTGGATAAGGGTGATCATGAGGATTGAGGTGCAGGACGAGGAGGATGACGGAGGAGGATGAGGAGGGGGATGAGGACGGGCAGTGTGGAGGATGATGAGGAGGATGCGGGGGCAGAGAACGAGAACGGTGAGCAGAAACGAGGACGATGAGGGGTGGGAAAATGGGCACGACGACTGCGCCAGCGCCTGCGGAGAGGCAGAAGTTCGACGAGGCGCGCGCCAAGTCGCAGGCCGAGGGCAGCTCAAGTCATAGTGCCTCCGTCGCCATCGTCGTCCGGCTGCTGCTGCTCCCCGCCTTGCTCTCCTCCTGGTCCTTCTGCCCCTATGGCCGTGACCCGTCTGGTGGGCTGGGGGGGGGCCTCGGGCCCACCGCGAGGGACGCGCCGTCCCTTGCCCCCAGACTTGCCGGGCCATGTGCAGGGCACCCGCGGGACCTTTCCAGCAGTGTCGTACTCCTTTCCTTCCCTCCTCCCTCTCCTCCCTCCTCCTCCTCCTTCCTCCCCCCTCCTCCTCTTCCTCCTCCTCCCTCTCCCTCCTCCTCCCTCCTCCCTCCTCCCCTCCCTCCTCCTCTTCCTCCTCCTCTTCCTCCTCTCCCTCCTCCCTCCACTCCTCCCTCTGCTCCACGACCGCGACGGCTTCCAGTCTCAGGCTGGCCCTGGGCTGGGCCCGCGCCGCTCCGCCCCCCTCATCCCTTGTCTGATGGATCGGCAGGTGCGGGCGCCTTCCAGCCATTCCCTCCACTTTCCCTTGCCATCTCCTCATCATTCCCTCCTCCTCCTCCCCCTCCTCCTCCTCCGCCTCCTCCTCCTCCTCCTCCTCCCCCCCTCCTTCCTTTCGGATCCTCGTCCTCCTCGTCCTTCCCCCTCCTTGGGGTCAGGGTGAAGATGCGGGGTTATGGGTTTCGGGCGAGCAGCAGGAGAGAAAGAGGCCAGGAAGATGAGGGCGAGGGCAGGAGTCCTATGATGTTGATGATGCTGCTGATGATGATTCTGATGGTGATGAGAAGGATGAGGATGAGGACGATAAGGAACAAGAGGAGACGGAATAGTTTCTTTGGACGGGAATGGTTGTACTGAGGATGATTGTGGCAATAATGTTGGTGATCATGCGAATGACGGTGGTTGTGATGACGATGACGATGATAATTACGATGGCGAATGATAGGCCGATGCTGGGGTGACGAGCCTGATCACGATTTTGAGGCGGTGCTGGTCGCGCTCGCGAGGCTGGGTAAGTATGATGATATCCATAAGGATGCCGACGACGATGATGATGCAGTTGTTGGTGATAAGTGCGTAAGGCAATGGTAGTGATATTGCCGACGATGGTGCTGGCGACTACGACGGTGATATTGCCGTTGCCGATCATGACGCTGCTGATGATAATGTTGCGCGGTCTAGTGCCTGTGGTTTTAAGGAAAAAGGGGATGACAGGGATTCTGATAATGTCGGTCGGGGCTTCGATGAGCCAATACGAGGAATGGGATGGTAAGGACAATGATTTTGCTGCTGAGCATGATAACGGCGATAGTGATGCTTTGATGATGATGGCAACGATGTTGCCTGCTAGTTTATCTGTAAAAGACTTAAGTGGATCGTGCTTTTGATGATGATGCTGTTGATGATGGTGATGATCAGGACGATGATGATGCTGATGCTGATGCTGATGATGGTGGTGGTGGTGATGATGACGATTGTCATGTGTGATATGGTGGTGGTGATGATGATGCTGTCGCTGCTGCTGATGATGATGCTGGTGATGATGATGATAATGATGATGGTGATGATTCTGATGATGATGATGCTGCTGCTGATGCTGATGATGATGGTGGTGATGCTGATGCTGCTGCTGCTGATGATGATGATGATGATGATGATGATGATGATGATCATGCTGCTGCTGCTGCTGATGATGATGATGATGGTAACGACGATGACGATGTTAACCGTTTGGGAACAAGGAGGGAGTGGATGGGGAGGAGGATGATGATGAGGGGGACGCCCCCTAGCACGTCCAAGTACCCTTGCGAACGCCTGGCAGCCTCCTAAACGCTCTAACCTCACTCACTCCTCATTCATCATTGCTTCTCCTCTACCTCCTCCTCCTCGAGGGCGAGGGTCGTGATACGTTTGCTGCTGCTTATGCCGCGGGCGCCGCCGCCGCCGATGCTGATGTTGTTGTGATGATGCTGATGCTGATGATGATGGTGATGCTGGTGACGGTGGTGATGCTGATTCTGATGATGATGCGGATCCTGATGCTGATGATGTTGATGATGCTGATGACGATGTTGCTGCTGCTGCTGATGATGATGATGATGATGATGATGATGATGATGATGATGATGATCACCATCGTGAAGAGTAAGACCAGGGTTGCCAGGACGAGCTGGATGGTCAGCGGAGAGGATGAGGAAGTTCAGGGCGACGGGGATTACGGGAGATGAGAGGAAAAGGAAGATGATGAGGAGAAAGGGGAGGAGGAGAAGGAGGAGGAGGACGACGACGACGAGAAGGAGGGGGAGGAGGAGGAGGAGGAGGAGGAGGAGGAGGAGGAGGAGGAGGAGGAGGTGGATGAGGAGGAAGAGGAGGAGGAGGTGGATGAGGAGGAGGAGGAACAGGACGAGGAGGAGGAGGAGGATGAGGAGGAGGGGTGGGAGGAGGAGGAGGAGTATGAGGAGGAGGAGGAGGAGGAGGAGGAGGAGGAGGAGGATCGAGGATCTAGGATCGAGGGATACAGGGAAGTCGTGGTCGACTGGGCCGCCGCGCCTCCGCCCCGTGCCTGCTTGAGGGGCAACGCGAACTGGTTAACCTCAGTCACCTTGTCACCGCGCTGCTACTCCCTCGGGAAACAGAGCCGACTGCACATGGGTACGTCCGCCCTCAGGTTCACGTTCATTGTGATACTCTTCCTGTTGGCGCCCACGCGTGCGTTCTCCCGCACGGTTAACAAGCGCAGAACGAACTCCCAACCCATGCGTGCGCATGCGTGTGAGGAACATGCATAAGGTGACAACAGTGAAAACGTAGCTAGATGGGCGAACGCCAGAAACCACATCCAGAAAGTGGAGGACGACGTGGCCGTCAATTCGGCAGCCCCCAAGGGAGGTAAACCAACCAGTGCTGCCAGTACTCCACACTGAAAGCAGACAACAGCAACTTACTTCTTGACACAACCACGCGCTTCAATTTGCCACCCGTGAACTCTTGTCACTTCTGTGGGCCCAGGCCACGGCTTGAATTGAATTGGTTTGAAACTGAAGCCCCGGTAGCAGAGAACAACTACTGCAGAGCAACAGCATTCGAGCCTACTATCCGAGATTGGCTCGAAAGGGTGTTCCTGGCATGAAAACAATCCATCCCGTTTACCAGAGGCCCCATCTACCTTCCCCAGGCGGTTGTGGGAGAAACCTGCAAAGTAGTTGACGGCACGGCACCGAAGATCACGAACAAGACGAGCATGGCAGGGCGCTGCAGAAGAATGCGTGCGCCTCTATCGTTCCAGCCCGCCACCATCCGTGACGCTCCGCCCCGTTGAGCATCGAGAGGGCAGACTGTCAAATCCACCACCAGAACAGCTCAAACCTGAAACATATACATACACTCCCCATGCGGGTTTGGGAGACCCCTGCACTGTAGCTGATGACAACAGACCACCAGACAGGACAAGTATCCATCCTCGCCGCTGCTTGGTGCCACCCACCAGGCCAGGGAATAGTGTCTACGCCTGTTACTCCGATTGCACTTACGCGGCGGTCCCTTACGCTCCCCCTCAAGTGCGGGTAAAAGTCAGCGCGTCCTATGGCGGTCACACCCTTGACGGCGCGCGGCAATCGGCACCCCGGGCATCCGGCCAGTTGGAGCCAAACTTGGTCTTAGTCGAGATGTTACTTGAGAGGATGATGATGAGGAGGAGGGATATGTGGTGGAAGAGGAGGAAGAGGAGCAGCAGGAGGAGGAGGAGGAGTAAGACGACGCTCGACGAGGACGCCCCCGAGCCAGGGCATGGGCATGGGGCTGTTCTCGCAGGGCACGAAAGCGGAGAGCGGCGTCTGGGAGCGCTGGTTTGCCCAGAATTGCGGGGCAGGGGGGGGGGGGATGAGGAGTAGCAGAAAGAGAGGCGGAGTCGCAGTCGGAGCCGGGGGAGCCATGGTCGCAGTCCGAGGGAGGAGGAGGAGGAGGAGGAGGAGGAGGAGGAGGAGGAGAAGGATGATGAGCATGAGGAGGATGATTGATGAACAGGAGGGGCAAGAGGAGGAGGGGAAGGAGGAGGAGAAGGACGAACAGGAGGAAGAGCGTAAACGCAAGAGCTTTCCAACGATGTTGCAATACACCTTCCCTCCTAGCGTTCTCTTCCCAAGTCCCTATAGCAGATGTTATCTATTTCTCCACATCCGAGAAGATAGTCTGTCCAAGCATGTATGTTCACTGGGGCAAGTGCTTCTTCGGAAGGCAACCGCCTGAAAATTCTGAACCATGCCAAACTAAAATTATTCTTGGGACTTCAACACCGCGAATTGAATTGCTTTTTGCGCCCTGACGATCCTGAACCGTGCCATAGTGTTGTTCCTGGGACTTCAACACCGCGAATCAACGTGACGGTTGCTCCCTGACAGTCTTGCATCGTGCCCAAACGCAACTTCTCGGAGCTCAGCCATTCGAGTCTTCGAAGCTGCTTTAAACTCTTAAGACGGCGGCGCTGGGGCGAGAGCCATATTTCGAAAACGGCCCGCCCTCCAACCGTGAAGCTCTTGCGATTTTTTTTACACGAGTGAGCGCGGCAGTAGGGCGATTGCCATATTTTGAAATCGGCGAGCTCTCGATCCGTGAAGCTCTTGCGAACGTTTTAGACGAATGTGTGCGGCGCTGAGGGCCAGAGCCACATTCGGAAAACGGCTCGCCCTCCATCGATGAAACTCTTGCAAACTTTTGACACGAATGTTCGCGGCGCTGAAGCGAGGGCCACATTTTGAAAACGGCCCGCCTTCCATCCGTAAAATTATTGCATTGTTTGCTGAATGATTTTGAATTGCGAGGAAGCCTCACGCGAAACACCCAGCCCGCCCTACTGACACGTCTCGGGGTGTGACAGGGAGGTGCTATTTCCAAGGAGAAGGGATGGAGGAGGAATAGGATGAGGGGAAGGAGGAGGATGAGGATGAGGATTAGGATGAGGATGAGGATGAGGGTGAGGATGAGGATGAGGATGAGAATGCGGAGGAGGAGAATGAGGAGGAGGAGAATGAGGAGGAGGAAAAGAAGGAGGAGGAGGAGCAGAAGGAGGAGGAGGAGGAGGAGGAGCAGGAGCAGGAGGAGGAGCAGGAGGAGGGGGAGGGCTCCGGCGAGCGCCCCGCTTCGCCGAGGTCGGGCGAGAAGCGCAGGGCGCAGGCGGCGGGCCCTGGCGACGCGGAGGCTGCCGCGGCGCGCGGGCGCGCGCCGCCGAGTCTGCCCAAGGCCCGCCGCGGCCAGGGTCCGGGGTCTTCTCTTGTATCTGCACTAACGAAATGGGTACGGAAAGAATGGGTACAATGGCCAACAGCAGTTCCTGTTCATTTTGAACAGGACTCGCTGTCGGTGTAGCCGCGGCCTTTGTCAATTTGAGACAGAAGGCTGCCTGCCCAACAGCGGCCGCTGCTGGTTTGGGACAACATTTGTTGTTGGGCATTGTACCCATTTTGGGCGTCCCAATTGTAGGCTTCGCCGATATCTCGGGTTTTTGGGCTCGCACCTTCTCCCCTCCCCTCCCCCGTCAAGAGTCTCCCCCCAGACTTCTCTCAGGGTGCGCGTCGACTACGAATTTCAAGGGGGATCCAGCTGTGGCCACGAGAAGTCTCTTGGAGATCCGGAAAAGCCCCGCCAAAATCATGAAGAACGCAGAAAAACATTGATCTTCGAAACTCGGCCCTCGAAACTCGATCCAAGATCCCCCTGGATAATCCGGCCCTGTCGGTTGCGCAGGTCCGAAGGGGGTACGCGCTGCTGGCGCGCGCGGGCATGCGAGGGGCTGCCCACAGCGAGAAGGAACGGTTCTCGGCCGGCGCCTCCCTCCCCCCCTCCGACCGGATTGCCCAGGTACCATCGAATCCAAATAGCGATCTCCTGCCACTCCAGGGGCCCTGAGATCCGACGTTGCAACAAAAAGTACCAACGTCGTATATAATTCAGACGTGCTCTTGTGGAGGCAGACATCACGGCGGCAGGTTTTCTGCCGTTTTCGGCGCCCAGGGGCCCTCGCTGGGCCCCAGGACCGTGAACAAAAACGGTTCGCGATGGAAAACCGGCCCGGGGGAACGGGTCGTGACTTCGGGGGCCCCGCTTCGAAAGAATCGGGAGGTCGCATGTCTTGGGGGGCTCCCAACTTGGTCCGAGCAGGTGGGGCCGAAGGCTCGCGCAGAGCCGCCGACGCATCGGCGGCGCGGCTCGATGTGGAGCCCGATGTTCTCCGCGCCGACGTCACCGAGGCACCGCCGACGTCGCCGGTGCATCTCCGATGCATCGCCGATGCGTCGCCGATGCATCGGCGATGCGGCGCGATCCTCCGACCCCAGCTGTTCGGGCCCCACCTGGGACGCCTCCACACAGGCGCTGGCCATGCCGACCCTCACCGAGCGAGTTCCACTACTCGCAAAGGGCCAAGTCGCAAAATTCCCACGCGCCGACGTCGAGGAGCCCAGGTCTCCAGCGATGTGCGTCTTGCAGCCGGGGCGCGCCTCCCGCGCTTCGACCCTTGGGGGGCCCGTCTTCGGGCCTTCGATGGCCATCCAGAAGGGCCCCGGCGCCATCGCCGCGGCGGTGCGCACTGGCCCTCCTTCGGGTGGCTCCGGCTCCGGCTCCGGCGGCGACTCATCTGGCGAGTTCGCCTCGAGGAGTCTTCTCGGATGAAGACAGGAGCAGGAGACGACGACGACGACGACGACGACGACGATGACGATGACGACCCGCTGGGCGGGAGCAGCTCGGTCTGCCGTGGCGAGGACCTCCCAGATCTCCGACGATAGTTGATACTTTTCCTGTCCGGGCGTTTTTATCCGACGCCCCCCAGGGGCCGGAAGCATTCGAAAGCGGCGCTGTCACCAGTCACGACTGATTTGCGTCGCCTGGATCTGAGGGTTCTGCGGACACGGTAGGCTCTTGTCGTGTCGACGCGGCGGCGACCCCAGCGCAGGCGTTCAAGGCTGACCGCCACCAGCGGCCTGGAATCGGCCGACATCGAACGAGTCCGCGCGATCGGAAAGCCGCTCTCCTACAAGGTTGAGCACCCGCGCGGTGCCAGAGACCAACGCAAAGCCGAGACGTCCGATGTCGTGATTTTTACAGGCCGCGGCTTCCCAGAGGACTGGACTTCATCCCCGCGACCGGCTCTCCATCCGGAGTTAATTGGTTTCAACGGCCCAGGAGTCCCGCGAGGGCCCCAGGAGGCCGAAAAGGGTTCAGAACCTTCCGCCGGTCACGACTTGAGGAGGCTTGGTTTTGGGGTCAGACCTCCGGTCTCCGGCGGCCGGCACCCTGGAGCGCTCCCGACGGAGCACTGCTGCTGGAAGGCATCGCGAGGCAAGAAAGCCTGTGAGTCCTCGGCGAAGCCAAGACCAGAGCAGGACGGTGTGGACTACGACATGATGTGTACACGCGTTCTGTCTGTATCCGGAGCTGTCATGGAGAGGATGAGTGAGCGTGCCAAGGCTCCCCCCCCTATATATATATATATATATATATATATACACATATGTATATGTATATGTATATGTATATGTATGTATATGGTCGCTTTTGACAAGCTGAAGTGACATGTCTGTGCCCCGAGGGCTCGCCGCATCGACGCCTGCCGTCGACGTGTCTGCTCAAGTCTTTGAGGGGCCCAGCGTGCCCCCAGCCTATGGTCGTGCGCGGCCTAGGCTTCTCAGTCTTTTGCCACTTGAGTGCCATAGGCGTGGCGCGCTTGTGGTGGCAGCCTGCGCCGAGGCTGCCACCCGCCGCTCCCGCGGCGGCTGCAGGTGCTGTCCAGCCCGAGTTCTCGGCGCCGGAGCGGGATGAGCCGCCTGAGGTGCTGGTCCCACTGTCGGATTGCATCGCGGCAGCTGTGGGCGCCAGTCCGCCGTCGGGGTGCCCGTCGCCGTGTACCCCTTGCCCGGCGTGCCCAGAGGCAGGCGAGTCGTCTACGCCTTTCTGGACGCTGCAGATCGGGACTAGGCTCCTGGGGCTGCTGTTCGTGGAGAGTGCCAAGCTCGTGCTCGCTCTGGCCCGTCGGCTCGGGAGCGCGTTGCGGCAGGTTGCTGGAAGCGTAGGCCCGCGCCCTCGCGTCGCCCTCGGCGACCGTGCGCGCACTAGTAAGTTTCCGCTTGTTCCCGTTTCCGCGGCCGGTTGCCCGGCACTATCTGGTTCGAGCAGTTCGCGGGGGGTTCGAAGACGAGTCGTCGAAACCATGTCGGAATGGCGCAAACGCACACGTATCGCAACCAATGTTGCCGAATATGTATGAGTTTGCGTTTATAGCAAGCATTTGGCTCACAGCGTCCAAGAATAGCAGCCAATGCACAAATCGCGTCCGTTCTGGCACGTATTGGTATGCATCGTCCAAATTTGCAGCCGACGCATGATTTTGATTAGTATGACCGCATTTGCTGCGCTTTGCAGAGACGATGGCTGAAAACGCTCCTTCTTTATCGAAATCAGCTTAGGTCTTAAAGATTGTGTAGCTTTCGCGCAAAAGGCGATATTTGGGAGGCCATTGAGCACGTTCTCCGCGTTTTGCGAGCGATCCCCTTCGGGGCCCACTTCGCGAGCCAGGGTTGGCTTGATCGACGTACTCAATAATCGTCCTGCTGTTTCGCCCTCTCTTTTGTCATTTGTTAATCTGCCGTCGCGCGCTCCCGCGCCCCACACCCCGTCTGGAGGCCCAAGAGACCCATCGGAGGCGGAAAAAATATCGAACAACACAGGTGCTGTAAGAAGGGGCCCGAAAAGCAGTTGGAACCTTCTTGGGGTCGCCTTGGGGCCTCTTGGATGCATGCCGAATTTGCTTGCACTTATGCAGCGCCATATCGGGGGCAGCCTGCTGCAAGAGGGGCGCGCTCCTGGAGCAGCCCCGGGACGCTCTAGCCTGGGCGCCCCTTCCAAGCCCAGGGGGGCAGGCAGGGGGCAAAACCGTTTCCCGAGCAGAGCCTCGAGCAGAGGCATCGGTGCCACGACCAGGGGGAAGGGGAAGAAGAAGCAGGGGAACCGCGTCAAACCACTCTCCCCAGTTGTTTGGTTGAGAAGTCAATGGCCGCGCAAGGTAGATTCCGCCTGGGCCAAGCCCATGCAGAAACAAGTATTGTGCAAATTGTCGGCTTTCCCCACATTCCAAGTGGGTTTCTGATTTTCTTCACATACGCGTCGCACCCGCGTGTCCCCCACATGTTTCGTGGGGTTTTGGTTTTCTTCCCTGCCGCGGCGCACCCGCGTCTCCTCTCACACACCTCACTCCCCCCCTCCTCCTCCTCACACCACTGCTCAGCACAGCTCAGCTCAGCTCAGCTCAGCGCGGCGCAGCTGAGCACAGTTCAGCTCAGCTCAACTCAGCACAGCAGAGCACGGCACGGCACAGCACAGCACAGCAAACCGCACAGCAGCACAGTACAGCACAGCACAGCATAGCACGCAGGGCATTCCTTCGACGCCACAGAGGGCGCGCTGGGGGTGGGGGCCCTATGCGTTGTAGGCCCGCGGGGCGTGGCAGACGTGGCATTTCCTCGACGCCACAGGGGGTGCGCTAGGGGTGGGGGCCCTATGCGCTGTAGGCCCCCAGGACGTGGCAGGCGCGGCATCTCCTCGACGCCACAGGGGGTGCGCTGGTGGTGGGAGGCCTTATGCGCTGTAGGCTCCCAGGGCGTGGCAGGCGTGGCATTTCCTCGACGCCACAGGGGGCGCGCTGGGGGTGGGGGCCCTATGCGTTGTAGGCCCGCGGGGCGTGGCAGACGTGGCATTTCCTCGACGCCACAGGGGGTGCGCTGGGAGGTGGGAGCCCTAGGCGCTGTAGGCTCCCAGGGCGTGGCAGGCGCGGCATTTCCTCGACGCCATGGGGGGGGGGGGGGCGCGCTGGGGGTGGGGGCACTATGCGCTGTAGGCTCCCAGGGCGTGGCAGGCGTGGCATTTCCTCGACGCCACAGGGGGTGCGTTTGCGCTCGGAGGTGGGGGCCCTATGCGCTGTAGGCCCCCAGGACGTGGCAGGCGCGGCATCTCCTCGACGCCACAGGGGGTGCGCTGGGGGTGGGGGCTTTATGCGATGTAGGCACCCAGGGCGTGGCAGGCGTGGCATTTCCTCGACGCCACAGGGGGTGCGTTGGGTGGTGGGTGCCCTATGCGCTGTAGGCCCCCAGGGCGTGGCGGGCGCGGCATTTCCTCGGCGCCACAATGGGGGCGCGCTGGGGGTGGGGGCCCTATGCGTTGTAGGCCCGCGGGGCGTGGCAGGCGTGGCATTTCCTCGGCGCCACATGGGGGTGCGCTGGGAGGTGGGGGCCATATGCGCTGTAGGCTCCCAGGGCGTGGCAGGCGTCGCTTTTCCTCGACGCCACAGGGGGTGCGCTGGGAGGTAGGAGGAGGAGGTAGAGGAGGAGGGGGAGGAGGAGGGGGAGGAGGAGGAGGAGGAGAAGGAGGAGCAGAAGGAGGAGAAGAAGGAGGAGGAGCAGGATGAAGGGGAGCAGGAGGGGGAGGAAGAGGAGGAGGAGGAGGAGGAGGAGGAGGAGGAGGAGGACGGGGAGGTGGGGCCGCAGTAGCGGCAGCAGCAGCAGCTGCAGCAGCAGCAGCAGCAGCAGGAGCAGCAGCAGCATCAGCAGGAGCAGCAGCAGGAGGAACACACCGAGGAGGAAAAGGAGGAGCAGCAGCAGAAGCGCCGATGGTACACATGGGAAATGAAATCGGTATGTGGGGTTCCTCGGTAGCGTAACTTATGTGTCCGACAACGCCCGCAGAGGTTTGTTTCCCAGCCATCGTGTGGCGTTGGGCCCTCGTTTTCACAAGAGACGTTCTCCCGCGTTCATCCTTCTCCCCCTCCTCCGCGCCCTCATATCACCCCTCTCCTCGGCGCACCCCTCGCACGTTTCGTGGCCCCATTGAAAGCCCCGCCGAAGGCTCCAGTGGCAGGATTTGCATGCGGCACCGCCGCCTATTTCGGCGCACCCCTCACACGTTTCGCGGTCCCACGAGGGGCTCCACCGAAGGCTCCAGTGGCAGGGCTTGCATGCGGCACCGCCGCCCATTTCGGCACGCCCCCCACGCGGTTCGCGGCCCCACGGGGAGCCCCGCCGAAGGTTCCAGCGGCAGGGCTTGCATGCGGCATCGCCGCCCACTTCGGCACAGCCCGCGCGCGGTTCGCGGCCCCAGAGGGAGCCCCACCGAAGGGTCCAGCGGCAGGGCTTGCACGCGGTACCGCCGCCCATTTCAGCACATTTGCCACGCGGTTCGCGGCCCCACCTGTAGTTCCACCGAAGGCCCCAGTGGCAGGGCTTGCACGCGGCATCGCCGCCCATTTCGGCACGCCTTCCACGCGCTTCGTGGCCCCATGGGGGGCTCAACCGAAGGCTCCAATGGCAGGGCTCGCACGCGGCACCGCCGCCCATGTCGGCACGCCCCATCGCGCGGCTCGCGGCTCCAGCAGGAGTTCCACCGAAGGCCCCAGCGGCAGGGCTTGCGCGCGGCACCGCCGCCCATCCCAGCACGCACCTCACGCGGCTCGCGCCCCCACAGGGAGGCCCACAGAAGGCTCCAGTGGCAGGGTTTGCACGCGGCACCGCCGCCCATTTCGGCACACCCCCACGCGCTTCGCGGCCGCGTGACGAGCTCATCGATGGCTCCAACGGCAGGGCTTGCATGCGGCGCCGCCGCCCATTGCGGCGCACCCCCCGCGCTGCCCTCGGCCCAATAGGGAGCCCCACCGATGGTTCCAATGGTAGAGTTTGCATGCGACACCGCCGCTCATTTCGGCGCACTTCTCACGCGGTGTGCGGCCTCATAGGGAGTTCCACCGAAGGCTCCAATGGCAGGGCTTGCACGCGGCACCGACGTCCATTTCGGCGCACCCCTTCCACGGCGGTTCGCGGCCCCATAGGGAGGCCAACCGAAGGCTCCAGCGACAGAGATTGCACGCGGCGCAGCCGCATATTTTGGCACACCCCCCACGCGGTTCGTGGCCCCATAGGGAGCTCCACCGAAGGCTCCAGCGACAGGGTTTGCATGCGGCACCGCTGCCCATGTCGGCACACCCCTCACACGGTTCGCGGCCCCATAGCGAGGTCAACCGAAGGTTCCAGTGACAGGGCTTGCACGCGGCACCGCCGCCCATTTCGGCTAACCCTTCGCGCGGTTTGCGGCCCCACAGGGAGCTCCACCGAAGGTTTCAGCGACACGGGTTGCACGCGGCACCGCCGTCCATTTCGGCGCACTTCTCACACGGTTCGCGGCCCCAGAAGGAGTGCAACCGAAGGTTCCAGCGGCAGGGTTTGCATGGGACATCGCCGCCAATTTCGGCACATCTCTCACGCGGCTCGGGGCCCCATAGGCGGTGCGCGGCCCCGTGGGGGGGGGGGGGGGCTCCGCCGAAGGCTCCAGTGGCGGGCGTTGCATGGGCCACCGCCGCCCATTTCGGCACACCCCGCACACGGTTCGCGGCCCCACGGGGAGCCCCCCCGCAGGTACCAGCGGCATATGCCGCGCGCGGGGTCGCCATCCAGCCCCTCGCTTCGAAACCCAACGTTCGCAAATAAGTGCCATGACCAGCGTTGTCAAAGTTGTCCAGCGCCCTCCCTCCGCAGCCATCTCGACGCAAGAAGCTGCGGCATATCGTTTCCAAGGCGCGTTTGTCGGCGGCGGGCCCAGGGCGGGATTACAAGGGGCAGACTTTCGGGACCTCTGAGAACACCGCAGGCATCTTGATCAGCCCATTTCATCGAAGACGCCTCAGGCGAGTCGCCGCCGCCCAGGACCTTTTGGAAGCGCAAATGTGGCTGAGTTGGGCGCTCAGGCATGAGACACCAATCAAGGTGTTCCTTCAGTTGGTCAAGAAGACAGTCGCGGAACACGCGCAAGAGGAGGAGGAGGGGCAGGGGTGGGAAGAGGAATAGGAGCGCGGAGAGGGAGGCTAAAAAGGCAGACGGGGAGACTGAAAGCGGGGAAGAGGAGGAGGAGGAGGCGGCGGGAGAGGGCGCGGAGGAGGAAGTGGCCATATTGGAAGTCGTCCGAGAACGGCCCCGACCGAAAACCATGTACAGGAGACGTCGCTAGCGAAACGCATGCGCTTGAAAGTCCCAGGGGCCACGCGGCAAGCCCCCTGAGATTTCGGCCGAGGCGCACCGAAGTCTGATTTTTTTTTCAACTGGGGGTTGAAGCTCAGGGGGTGGAGCACAAGACCCGAAGACACGCCCACTTCGCGCCCAGGGCGCGGCGGCGGATCTTCGGAAACGGCCCAAGAAATTCGTCCGAAACGCACGCAGGTTTCTGAGAAGCCTTGCCGCCACGTGGGCCCGCCGCCGACCTGAGCGAGCACGCATCTTTTCGATGAGCCACGCCTGCGACGATGATTTCGAGGCCGCCGCAGCTGGAATGGTTGACAGCGTCTTCGGGCCGAGGAATATCGTAGCTGCCAGCGGCCCGATAACTGATTCGGTTGACAACGGCCCGCGAAGTCACGCTGTCCGAGAGTTAATATGGTTGACGACTTGTTCGGCCCATCGGGTCGTGCAGAAGACCGAAACAGGGCCCAGGCGAATATCAGTGTCAGAGCTGGCGGCCTCGGCACCTGGAGTGCGGCGCGCGTTGTCTCAGACATGCCCCGATGCGTGCACCCTTCTCGGGCGAGACATGCAGGTTTGCGGCCTCCTTGAAGTGGAGGCTGACTTGAGGTATTTCGCGCTCCACTCCCTGACTGATTGCCAGCAGACCCAGCACGATTTCTGGCAGGTCCTGGCTGGCAGCAATTTGGATGGCAAGTTGTTTTCTTTCAAAGTCGTTGGCGCGTGGAAGTGTTCCCCATGGCAGGTGCGGGCCGCTGGCCACGAGGCCACCAGATGTTTCTTCCTCGAGTTCCCTGACGGGTTCGCCTCGCATTTGCGACAGTCCCGATGTTTGAACTGGGGGGAAGTCGAGCGCGCCCGCGGTGGGCTCCCACGACGCTCGATTACCTTAGCTGTTCAACTACCGCCATCATTCGCGATGTTGGTTCTTGCGAAGTCATGGGACTCCTTTGCCGTGGTCGATTGCAACAAACACTGCAACGTGCGGGCGCGGGTGGGGTGGCACCGCCCGTTGGTTCACGAAGGGCTCGCGCGCTTGCAGGGCGCTTTTTCGGCGGTCCGCGTGGGAGGGCGCCGCAAGTTCTCATGTGGCAGTTCCTGGTCCTTCGAAGATGAGCATATATTCGCGTATGGCGCATCCCGTCACACTGCGTGGATTGGCCGTGCGAATCATCGCGGCGGTCTCTGGGATCTAGCGGGCGGGGGCCCACGGCCTCTTGGGGGGGCAGCGTTGGAATTTCGCGGCGGCCGTTTTAGGGGCTTCTGGTTCTTGTCTCGGATACGAAGGGGGTCGCTGGAACCCCCGCGGGTCGCATCCAGGCTAGCTCGGGGCATGCCCGAGCGGGGGCTTCGGATTTCCCCGCCCCGTTTCCCGCGAGGGTTTCCGTGGGGGGCCGTCGTGGCGCAGTGTGAGGGCCGTTGCGGTGGCCTCTTTTTCTTTGTTCGGGGAGGGGTTCTCTCGGTGCACAGCGGCGCCCCTTCCCTGGCATTATTTGGCAGCGTCGGGATGACGAATCTCCATTAACGCCACCACAACAACAACAACAACAACAACAACAACAACAACAACAACAACGACAACATTGTTCCACGACACGCTAGTCCGCGTTTCGGAGCGGAGAGGCGGGTTTTCACAGCGCCCGGCATTCAGCAGGCACTCGCGTCAGTACGGCGCGCCGCCGATTTTGCGTGTAGCATTCCTGGCATGCGCCTCCCCGACTTGGAGGGGATATGCAGTCACATGTACGACGTTGCCGTCCAACTTCGGAATGGCCGCCAACATTTGTTGGCTCATGAGTGGGAAAACATCGGCGCCCATGGTGGGCAAAGCTACAGGGTGTCAAAGCTGATCTCGTCTTTTTTCTTGGCCGATTTGTTGCAACAGGATAGTCAGTTGCGGAAGGCTTGCGCGTTCGCGTTGCAAGTCGTTCTTCCGAAGGAGCTCGCGCAAGCGTTCGTCCAGAAGGTACGCGGCCAGTCTCTGGAGGACATAATTAAAATCCCATCCAAATCAACTGTCAGCCGGACACGAGGGAGGATATACGTCGCGATGATGCTGATTTTCCGTGAGATGGTAGAAAGTTATTTGATGGGCCAGGGTTTATCCATATGGGTACAAGCAGACAGCAGCCCGCAGGCTGGCAGGGACTACGAGCTCATTATGATCTGGCTGGTTCGGAAGAGCGATTCGTTGGCTTACGCTACGCCGCCAGCTTTTCGGGGCGCCAGACATGTCCATTGGAAGACGCCGACAACGTCTTCCGATGGCGCGCCCTCTACTTCCTCCTCCTCCTCCTCCTCCAGCTCCTGTTCCTCCTCCTCCTCTCCCGACTCTTCCCCGCCCACCATTCCCGACGCGCGAACCAAAGCAGCCACGCTGACGCACCAGTCGAGACCTTGGAGCCCCACCCATATTTCCCATAGGCTATGTTCCCAAGGGAGGCTCCCCTTTTTAAAAAAAGGAAAGTATTCCGCGCGCCGAGGGGTCATCGAAGGCCCAGAGGGGCGGCGGCTCTAGTTGACTTGCGCGGTTTCCTCCTGGAAATGTTGGGTTACAGAGGCGTTGAAATTACACAAGGGTCTGACGATGTGAGGGACCAGAGTCGGCTGGCTCAGGAAATCAGCAACATAATCATCACGCACGTATGTCCACCTGTGAACCTCGGCCACGGCCGCACTACCTTGGCATTGAAGTTCAGGGCATTGCTCCACGCGTTTGCCCTGCTCTGCAAAAGCCGTCAGATTCTAGAGCGTTTCCTTCAATCCATCGTCAGTTTTCACAGTGACTATGGAGTAGAGATTGGCTTCGCACGAGTTCTACCGATCAACGTCGCAGACGTGTTGCCATATTTCGATGCCCCCGCCACCATCACCGATGAGCTTCGCGACGTGGCCGAGGATGATTTCTCCGCTACTTCCCCTCCGCCACCACCACGCGTGCCCGTTGCAGACGTGTCCAGGTCTTTCGAGGGACCTGACTTGCTCCACATTATACAGCTGCCTGTGGCACCCGCGCCGCCGCGCTTGAGACGGGGGCCAGGGGCTTCGCGGATGTTGGCTGGCAGCCCCCCCGCGCCCTCTCGGGCCCCATGGGGCCGTCATTGATGTTGGTTTGGGTTGATTGGTACCCGCGCCTATCTCGGTCAAGCTCGGGGTTTGTTTGGCCGCGTCGGCGCCCTTGGAAGAACCTGACAGCGCGCCCACGGGCGCCGCCCTGGGCCGTTCGAAAGGTCGAAGCGAGATGCCCCCTGCCCAAGGGCTCACGCGAAAAGGTTTTTTTTTCTCGCAGAGGGGTGACCATGGGCCGCCGCGGTTGGTTCGCCCGCGGCCTTGGGGAAGGGCGCCGTGGATCAGCAATGCCACGAAAGGTTTGAGCGCAGCGATGGAGGGGTACGATGACACGATATTCTCTTTGAAAAAGGTGCGCCGTCTTGTCACGCGCAAGGAGAGCAAGGAAATATTATTAGAACGGTGTTTCAACACTGGCGCAGCGTTGGGTTTCAAAAGAGATATCGAGAGGTTCCACGCAGAGGTTTACGAGGACCGCTGGAACACCGTGTCGCACGCCATATGCAGCATTCTTGACATTGAAGTTGCTTTGTGCAACGGTTGGAATCTGCACGCTTACTCTGACGGCGCAAAAGCTTCCAAGGCGCCCGACCCCAATGCCGACGACGAGCACGACGCTAGGTTGGACCTCGTCGACGCCGCCATCCTTGATGCTATTTGGTGGGCTAAGTTGGTAGCGTTGCGGGTCTTTGCACAGGGGCAGCGGCAAGCCGTCCGATGGGCGTCGCATTGCCCATGCCATTGGCCGACAATTGAGATTACCGGGTCGGAGGCAGATGCTCCTCGCGACGTCATGGGCGTCATCAACGCATGCCCTTTGCGGGGGCGTCGGGGGCCCGAACTAGCCAACGGCGAGTTCTTCGACGTGATCCACGCATTCTTTTCTATTTCTCTGGCCAGGCTCGAGACTGACTTGCACGCGCGAATCGGCTCAGATGCCGCAATGCATGTACTCATGGATTTTGAGAGAGGCCGAGTGCATTTATATAAGGTTGCCTATGGTTTGCTCCGCCACCGTGCTTTGGTTGCTAGCAAGAAGCCATTTGCGCAATTGCAAGCCAGATTTGCGGCCGCACCGCGCTCAATTTGGTTTCCGCGTGGCCTGAAAGATCGGGTTTCGACCCGCTTGAATTCTGTTTCGGGTTGTCCTGGTGGGGCCTTCCTTGGACGTCTCGGTCGCCTCTTCGGCGGTCTCGGGACCCTCATTGGTCACGTGGGGGGGGGGGGGGGGAGCGCGGAGGCCTCTCGGGCCGTCTTGGAGTTCGGGCTGGCCCGATGGCTACGCACGCCACGAAATGCCCATCGGAAACAATCGCCCATTCGCCAAGATATGGGGGCGGATTCGACTTACACGATGAAGCTTACTTTCAAAACCCAAGCGCCCTATATTCTCGCTGGGCTCGGTCACCACGACGCGGCCGTCCGCGCCCGTTGCCTCAGCCAGGCGATGCACAGTGATAGCTCGCATCCGGGGTTGAAGGAGTTGCGTTGCAGCCCTCTCCGCGAGCAATGCTTAGATTTTTTCGACAGCGAGGGGGACTGGGCACGTTGCAAAGGAGACGTCGACGGGCTGAAAGAGATCGCAGTGGAGATGGCGCTATTGCATTCCCACACGCGGCGCATCGAAGGCCAACATGCCCGCGCCAAGAAAGCTACCACCAGAGCGCCCAGTCACGCGGGGCCATACGTCATCATTCAGCACAGGATGCCTCAGATGACAAAGTGGTTGGAGAACGAGCCCCAGATATTCGAGTCCCTCAGTACCTTGTTGGCGAGGGTCCGCAACGGATGGGACGCCGTGAACCACCTGGGCTTTTCTAGCCACCCGCTTGTGCAGAACGTCATTAGAGAGCAGTCCAGGTCCAAAGGGAGAAACCCCATATTTTACAAAGTGGTTTACCACGCAGACACGTTCACCAAGTACGCCATGAGGCCTCCACCCGTCAGGACGCATCTACCCTTGGAACGAGGCGCAGGAGCGAGCCATGCGTTTGATGAGAGCAAGGCGCTAGAGAGCCACATGCACAAATTGGCATTGAAACACTTGGCATCCGAAGCATGTAAGAAAGAGGGCATCATGTCGGTGATCGTTAATCCTGAGGCCTTCCAGCGCCTGTCATCATTATTGAAGCCGCAAGCCAGCGCACTTCGCGTCCGCCATGCACCCTTGGAAGACGATGTTGGCCACTGCTGTATCAATCCGCCGCCGACCATGCTGGAGCTCTTGCCTGACGTTCGGCGCACGGGCGCACCCGTGGAAGATGTGTTTTTTTTCTCCGTGGTCAACGTCGCGCCCGCGAAAGCCCAACGGACCCGTCTTCACAATTCGGTTTCTTTGAAAGGATGGTCGGTCATCAACGTCCACGATGTACTCGATATGCCAGGGCCTCAGCTGGAAGGGGCAGTGGTGAGCGCCAGCCCGATGCACATCAGCACAGGCTGCGCGGATGCGATTGCTGTCGCGTTCAGCCCCCATCTCCTCGATTGGCAGCAAATACAGTCTATCCGTTGGTGGCCTTCAGAGGGTTCTGTTATGGTTCGACAGTTGCCTCGACACATCACTCAGCTTGTGCCGCAGCACCTGTTGCCCAGCATTCCTTCTTTGCTGGATAAGTTATTATCCAGAGGCGGCGGCGTCACTATTGTAGTCGCCTGTTGGCCTGCGCCGCGATCCAAGGACCCTCGCCCCCCCCCCCCCCTCCCGACGCGAGCAGTTTCCTGGTGCGGGGGGGGGGGAGGGCATGTTGCTAGCTTCTCGGTGCGTTCCGTGGACCCTCTGGAGGGATTGTCGGCGCGTTCCTTGGGTGATTGCTGGCCTGTCGCTCCTTGCGGCGTCAGGCCGGGGCTGCAGACTTCAGCTTAGGCGTTCGAAAACCCATTCTTTGGATCGGCGGATTTCCAGCAGCGGCGCGAGTCAGCATGAGATTCGCTTGCTCGAGATGTTCGTCGCTGACGGCATATGCGAAGGACCTCCCTACAAGTTGACCGCCGTCGGATTGGAAGAGGTCCAGTATGGGCGAAGACTGGCGGAAAGCCGCCCGCTATTTCAGATGAGACCTGCGTGCTTGGATACCGCTTCAACGTTCCAACTGGTATTGGAAATGGAGGCACGCGGGTGGAAGCACCAACATATTCCAAGGAGGCACCGCGGCATGCGAATCGAATCGTTCTACACGGCTGGCATGGACCCTGCCCAGGACAAGGTCTGGTACACTCATCGGGGCGACAGCATCTAGCACGAGTACCTCCTGGCATTGCTGCAGTCGGTGGACGGCGTCGCTGTGCCACACCCTCCCAGCGCCACCGTTGCGGACTACAACAGGCTTTTGGGCAAGTGCTCTAAGGAGGGAGCAAGTTGAAGGGGGAGGAGGGGGGGTGGGGATGGGAGAGTGGTGGAGGGTGAAGGGGGGGTGGGTAGGGGTGGGGGATTGTTGGGGAGTATGGTGGGGGGTGGTGGGAAAAGAGGGGTGGGGGGTAGAATGGGTGAGGAGGAGGGAGGGTGGAGTAGTGGGGGTAGGGGTGAGACGGGGAGGGGGTGGGGATGGGCTTGTAGGGAGGGGAGGGGGGGGGAGTGGGTGTGTATTGGGTGGGGGGCAAGGAGGGTGGGGGGGGTTTGTGCGAGCTTGTGGTTTTTGGTCTTTTACTCCATCTTATCTGGTCTTAATTCATTTTTTTGTTTTTTTTTTATTTTTTTGCTTTGATTTAGTTTAATCTCCTTTTCTTTCTCTTTTTTAGGACGCGCGGGGCGAAGACGATTGGCCGCATCCAGGACACGGGCGATGACGAGTGGCCGCACGCGCCCGAGCTGCCTGGATTGCCTGACTTGCTTGCACTGCCTGAACTGCCGCACTCTCCCTCGTCCTCCTCGCTTGAAGTGCCATCTTCACCTGGGCTGTCGAGTGGTGAATCGTCATCGCCCTCCAGCGACAGCGACAGTGACGATGCCTGTGACCCACCTGCCGCCGACGAGGCCGCCTTGCCAGCTGAGCCCGACCCGCCTGTCGCCGACGAGGTGGCCTTGCCAGCCGAGCCTGCTGCAAAGCGCAGGAAGGTGTTCAAGGGCACGCCGTGGCCAGAAAGGGGGCGCTTGAAGCATAAGTTCTCGTACATCAAGAAACAAGCTCATCGCGGCGGCTACCAGATGACGTGCCATCTGCACGCGAACTGCCAGAAGACGTACAAAATCCGCGATGATGGCAAGACACTGGCGATGCTTAAGGCTTGGGCGCTGCTTGGTGACAACGCTGAGGTGCCGAACGCTGAGTGCCATTTCGGTTTATGGGCCAATTTCATTGAGAGCGCAGTTGACATTGAGCCCGAAGCGTACTTCGATGAGGACGCTGCGTCCCGATAGTCGGTTCTGTCGCGCCTGCGAAACATTTGCCAGCATTTGCCCGCTACAACCAGCGCAAGGGTGTAGATCCCCCTCGACTTCGGGGAGGGACCCTTTATGTTCTTAGGCTTCGGCCTCCCACCCTCCGATGTCCATTCGTTTTGCATTGGTGCGTTGCAATAAATTGCATTGCGTTGCATTGTCATGAGCACGTGCCGACGATGGACTTCGAAAACCCATTCGCGACGCTGTAGCAGATATGGCTGGGAAGATGGAGGACCCGAGGTCCTGAGGTCAGAGTGGAGACGAGAAGGGGGGGGCGTGGGGAGAAGAGCACGAGGAAGACGGCAAAATCAGGGGAGATGGATGGGAACGTGGAGAGGATGTGGAGGGCAGAGGAAGTGGAGGAGAACGAAGAGGAAAAGAGTCGTTTGCCCATTCGAAGACAGCAATGTGTGCCTCCCCGCTATCCTGCACCGACCCAGCCGAAATAATGCAAATCCCCATTGGGTTGCTGATCAACCCAACGACAACAATGAAGAATGATGGAGGTGGCCGCACATTGGCCCAACAACAACAATAAGCACAGCTCTGGGAGCGGTCCCGCTCAGCATGCGCCTCGTTCCTGACGCAATCGGCAACTTGGCGACTTGGCGATGCGAAACCACAACCGCAACCTGCAATTCCGTTTTGCCCGGAAAGCTTTCCGTTCTGCCCGGAAAGCTTCCCGTTCTGCCCGGGATTTGCTTTCTTTTTCGGTGATTTTGGTTGATTTCGGCCACTTGGCGACGCAAGACTGCCGCAAAGAAGCAGTGTATCTTTTCGTTTTCGGCCACTTGGCGACGCAAAACCACCGCCGCAACTTGCAATTCCGTTCTGCCCGGAACGCGTCCCGTTCTGCCCGGAAAGCTTCTCGTTTTGCCCGGAAAATTTTCCGTTCTGCCCGGAAACTTTTCCGTTCTGCCCGGGATGCGCCCCGTGTTGCTTGGAACCCGTGAACATGGTCATGCGAATTGTGAAACAGTTGCTAAGAGCATCGACACTCGGGAGATATCGTTCCGTTCCTGCGGCTGCATCGGTTCAGCAGTGGTTTGCCAGCTTGCTGTGCTATATTTGGGCTATCTCGGCGCTTTCTTGGCTTTTGGGCGTCGTTGGTGCCTCTGCGTTGTCTGGCGCCATTTAAGTCCAGTCGGGACTCTTTGTGCGGCGCGGGAAGTCCGAGGCCGAGCAGCTCGCCGCGGATGTTGGCTTCGGTCTGCCTCCCGCCTGAGCGCCGCGGCGCGCAGCTAGAGGCCCGCGGGGTTGTCCCAACGGTCTGGTTCGCGGGGTTGTCCCGACGGCCTGCCCTCGCGCCCCAGCGGCCCACGGGATTGTCCCAAAGGTTTTGCGAACCAAATCGACGCGCTTGCCCCGACCACGGGGAAGGGGGCAGGAACGCGCGGAAAAGAAGCAGGGGAAGGATGAGGACGGGGACGGGGCAGGGAAGGAGCGATGATGATGAGGAAGTGGAGAAGGAGAAGGAGGAGTAGAAG